GTGAAATTTTTATGTGAAACGCTTCAATTTTTCGACGGCTACAATTTAAAAAACATAGTTTTGGGTTTTTTACCCGATGGATTTTAAGAAATCAACAGGTATAAATATTCAAAACAAATTACTCAGCATATTTTCACAGTTTGATATTTGTAACCTCGAATCAGTTATATTTGTGACTGATAGAGGAAGTAATATCAAAAGTGCATTACAAAACTACACGAGAATCAATAGTTTTAATCATTTATTTTTTAACGTAGTAAACGCTGCATTTGAGAAAACATATGATTTAAAACCTTTAATTAGTTGTTGCAAAAGCCTCTTAAAATATTTCAAAAAATCGAAACTAATATGCATTGCAAACATCATTGAAAAGTCACTGTCCCACACGATGGACCTCTTACTTGGTAATGCTTAAGTCCATTTCATACAATTGGCCAACTATCGATATTATTTTAACAGAAAATAATCAACAAAGTCGTTTGTTAGATATTAATAAAAATATCGTCAACTCTTTGGTAGAATTGTGCCAATACTTCGCCAAAATTTCTAACAAATTACAGGGGTGCAATTTCATGTCAATATGTTATGTACTTCCCTCAATTTTTCGATTAAAAACGATATGCGAAGCAGTTCATACAGACGTTCCAGCAGTATTCAGCGTAACATATCAACATTTATCAGTATATGGCTTGCTAATTTAAGCATTTACCACAAAGTGGCACTATTTTTATATCCTCCAGCAAAAGCTATGAGAGATGTCGATATGGAAGCTGTGAAGCATTTCTGCATTGAGGAGATATCAGGCAATATTGCGTTTTGTACAAATTCCATCTTCACCAATTACTTCAACATCAAATACGTCTTCACCTGCAAATGACCTGAACTTCGTTTTTCCAAATATTTCAAACATGGGCACTCAGGGACGTATCGAAGATGAGATAGATCGATATTTTACAGAAAGAGTACAATTTGATAATAACTTTGACGCAATTCAATAGTGGAAGCAACATTAAATTAACTTTCCACGCATATCAAACTTGCACTTAAAATATTATCTATACCTGCAATTAGTGCGGCGTCTGAACGTGTATTTTCCTCGGCAGCAATGTAATAACTGATAAAAGAATCGACTTGCACCCAAAACCGTAGATAATATAATATTCCTGAATTCTGTATTTAAGACTAATTAATATGACAATTTTGTGCAATACCTCAATCTTGGGATGATATATTTCAGAGCTACATACTTATAGTATATGTATATCTTTGGAGTTGAATGTTTTGAATGTACATAAATCTTGAAGTAAATTCTATGTTTGGTGTTTTTATTTTTTACCGAATTGAAGTGTGTTATTTTGTTTTTTGTTAATAAGTCATGTAATTTTTATACCATTAAACTGACGTGATTTTTATTTTTAAGGTTGGTATCCAACCCTCAATTAATTGCTCAAGAAAAAAACTACATTATTTCTTCAAGTAACTCTGACAGCTAGTTACGCATTGTGAATGATCTATAATAGAAGAGCAAGAGAGAATAAACAAAGAATATAACATTGTGAGTATTATTTATGTATGTATGTGTGAAGTAACATAAATATTTTCATTGCGATTTAAGGAATGTTGTTGATGATTGGAAAGTTTTATACAACATTTCAAAATGAAATATAATCCATAATAATGAATTTAACTAATTTATGATGAAGTTAACAATTACTTTGAATTTCGTTCAAGAAACAATTGTTGATTCGATGTTCCTTCGCAAAACCAGGTTTGCCATATTCGCATTTTATTGAAAAAAAAGTATTAAAAATTAGTATTATATTTCTTTAGAGCTGCTTACTAGCACCAGTTACAAAATCCTTGTCTTCTTTACTAACATAGGTAATTAGCAGCAGCGCCTCAGTCGGTTTTTCTTTTTTGCAATGTGTCAGCAATTGGATATTCCAAACGAAGCCTGGACATCCTTCATCTGGTCTTTCCAACGAACTGGAGGTCTTTCTCTTCCCCCGGCGGGTACTGTGTCGAATACTTTCAGAGCTGGTGTGTTTTTGACCTAGCCAGCGTAGCCGCTGTCTTTCAATCTTGTTCAATATTGCTATGTCAATGTTGTCGAGTATCTTATAAGCTCATCATTCTATCGAATGTGATATTCGCCGTTGCCAACGCGCAAAGGACCATACCAGTCTCATCACAAAAACTCTCGCTGCTCGAGATAGCGACGTTAGACATTATTCGGTTAACATATATACAGCAGTATAGGGCAATAGATGTCTTTTTTGCTCTCTCCTCGAAATTCAGCTTCCACGACAGCTTCTTATCGAGAATAAGCCCTAAATTTTTCATTGTATCCAAAGGTTCAAGGCGAATACCTCCCTTTTGCGGCAACGGTGCCACCGGGATCTTATATCTTTTGCTGAATAAAACTATTCCGATTTTGCTTGGGTTGATGACGAGTCTACTTCCGAACGCTGAGATATCCTTGCGTCAACTCGTTTACTATCAGACCCATTTGCTTCGATTCTTTGTTCATTGTGGAGAAACCAGGATTAACGTTTCGGCTGTTAAGGCCAATTATATTAAGTCATCGGCGAACGCTAGCAGCTATACACTCTTATAGAAGATGGTACCTTCTCTATGTAGTTCTTCAGCACGAATTATTTTCTCCAACAGTAGATTCAAGAAAAACTTTGAAATTTCGGTTGCTTCATTTCCGTGCTGTTAAAATTAGCTTTAAAATCTAAGAAAGGTGGTGCGTGTCGATTCTCTTTTCACAGGTATTTTCCAAGATTTGGCTCATTGTGAATATCGGTTGTTGATTTCTAGGCCTAAAGCTACACTGATAAGATCCAATCAGTTTGTTGACAATGAGCTTTAATCATTCACACAATATCCTCAGTAGAACTTTACATGCGATGTTGAGGAGGCTTATCCCACGGTTGTTGGCGCATATTGTAGGGTCTTCCTTTTTGTGAATTGGGCAGAGCACACTGAAATATCAATCGTCGAGCATGCTTTCTTTCGATCAATTTAACCAAACAAGCTGATGCATGCTGCTTATAAGTTTTTGCTCGGTCGGTTATTCTTCCTCAGCTCAATCGTCATTCATTGGAGAATGGGGTTCGCCTACTCCTGGTGTTATGCTTTCACTGCCATTTAGCAGGCTGGAGAAGGATTTACTCCATAATTTTACTCAGTATGCTCAGCGCATCAGTAACTAGAACACTTCTGGGTGTTGTGCGATCTTGAAACCTTCTGTTAGTCGCCGCATCTTTTCGTAGAATTTTCGGGCATTACCCCTGTCGGTCAGCTTAACTTTAATCTACTCACGCATGTCGGTCTCTCTCCTTTTTTGTATGCAATTGCGTCTCGCTTCCCTATTCAACTTTCGGTATCTATTCCGCTCGTGTTGTGGTCGATTGTAACTTTGCGAGGTATGCGGCCTGATTTCTTTCCGCTACGACACAGCACTCCTAATCATACCAGCTATTCTTTTGCCTTTTCCGAAAACCAATGGTTTTGCTTGCAGCTGAACTTGAGGAGTTAGAAATGCCGTCCCACAGTTCCTTTTTATCAAGTGCTCTGCGAGAGAAGGAGTGCAAATAATTGCAGCTTCTCTACGTCAAATCATCCTCGTGTTTGTTTACGTTCGCTTTTTGATGGATAGAGGCCTTGCGATCTTTGCTGTAACTAGAAAGCGGTTCGAGTCAATGTTAAGACTTCGGAGCATACGCACATCTAAAACACTGAAAATGTTTCTTCCGTCTAGCACAACATGATCGATCAGGTTAGTGGCTTTTCGATCCGAAGGCAGCCAGGTAGCTTGATGAATTTCTTATACTGGAATCTAGTACTATAGATAATCATATTTCGTGCCCGGCCCGGTTCAGCCCCAACCCATTTGGGGATGTTTCATCTTGGAGGCTGAATTTTCCGACCCTTTGCTAAAGATAACATGTGGGCTCACTTTTGCGTTAAAGTGGTCAAGGACGATTTTGATATCATGGCGGGGCAGCGCTCTCATATGCACTCCAGACGCTCAAAGAAGGCATCTTGTCGGGATGAATGCCAGGACTCGCATTTTCTTGGATGGTGATGATGTCACTTTTTACTGTAACGAGAACATCATTTGGCTACGTATCGGCACCTTCCCAATTAAAAGACATTCCAGCAGCATTCCCTTAAACCATATACTCTTCCGAGGTTGATGTTTATTTTTCATTGGGTGAGTTTTTTACGTGGCGGGTCCAGCGCACAAGGATGGTTCGCCTTCTTACTTTACCTCACCTTCAAACGTATGTTCCTTGGCTCCCCAGAGGATACTTGGTCTAAGACTGGAGGTAATGATGTGTAAAAGAATTCGTTTCTGGCCACTTCCAAGTGAATGGAAATCATAGAACTTTTCTCCCTTGCGTCAACTTCTACATATTATTCCATCCTCATGTTTTCACTGTTATTACATAATATATTTTCCTTAAGAAACTGCGGGTAACACCGCGGGCAAAGCTAGTTATAGCTAAGTAGGAAGCAATAAATTCAAATGCGTATGCACAAGCGTTTGCAAGCCTTTTTGGTTGACGCGAATGTAACTTTTATTTAATTTACGACATAATGCAAATCCCAGTCTGTGATGACATCGTTATATTTAATTGTATAAAATATTTATAGACATACATACTATGTTTTGTTAATTTTCMATCATAATTCATGATCAATAAAATCTAACTATTTCCTGCATGAAAATTGTCAAAATTTTAACAGTAAATACATCTTTCTTACAGATGGTAATCAACAATAATGTGTATGATGAAATCATTTGTTATGAACAGCACCAACTAATTGTTTTTTCAAACAATCACACCGGTGCTATCACCAGAGTTAAATCTCGGCTTATACTGCAAGGAGAAGAAAAATACAATCAAGCAGATTTCTTAAATGAGCGTAAGCTAAATCGTTTTCTTAATTAATTATTGCCTTAATTTTTGCTATGTTGCTAGATGATAACATTGTGGAACGACGTTCAACACTGCTGTTTGACCACACTCCTTCTACAAAGCCAACCCGTACTGAAATCAAATTAGCACGGGATCTGCTAAAGGAAATGTGTGTTAGTGGATTTCCATATATTAAAAGAGAATTTTTAAGTGTCTTCACGAATTTTTTGCATACAATTAAGCAACTTGACTATGAAGCTTTGACACAGCTTCTTGGACGTTCAACAAGTATTTGTGAGAAAGGAAAGTAAGTAATTGAAAATCTTAGGAACATTAGGGTGTATTTTATTTTGAAAATTAATGGTTCTTCTCCAAACTCCTCTTAGGGATTTAGTTTATCAACAAAACGTATTCCAAATAATCTCTTTATTTATAAATTAAACTGTACCTAAATAATTTCTCTTTGTTTTTTATAAATCGCAATTGCAAAAGTATAAAAAAGGCAACAGAGAGCTAATATGGGAGAACACAAATTTTCATAGCAATACACGCTTAAGCTTATACTGAATTTTGCTCCTACATCAGGCATGGATAAGATGATACGAAACTATTTGATCCGAGAGAGAGCTGTCAAAACTCGCATTTTTTATAACATTTGCCAATGATGCCACTGCTAAAAATATTAGTTTGGGCATTTTATAAATAAATTTTGGGCATTTTGCAATTTCCACACTACCACTGAGGTACGCAAATAGCGCGTTACCGATATTCTTTTTGGGTGCTCGGTTCCCCAGTAGGCCTATATCACCCATATACAACATAAAATAAATACATAGTTAACAAAAAAAATTAAACAACAGAAACCAAAACAATTCATAAAAAATATCACAATATGTTTGCTATATAGTACCAATATGTACGTAGAAAATAAATACATTTCTTATACCTAATGTAACAATTTAAAATAATAAATGAACACAAAAACAAAACAATTCATATAAAAATATCACAAATTTAAGATATATGTGTTCAATACATATATATACTTAATTGGCAATGCCAAAGTTTTCCAGAACCCAGTTTTAAATAACAAAATGTAACTAAACAGACGAAGCAAGAAGCCGAAGAAAAATTAGGATGTAAAATTATCTCGAACATATTATATTTATGTGCCTATTTTGAAGCTATTTTTTTTTAATAAAAATCCTACATATGCGAAACACATAATATTTTAGTTTTAAAGTGAGGTGTACTTAAGTTTCTATTGAAAAATTTAAGGGCGACAAATATACGAATCCTAATATATAATGCTAGATTAGCGTTACTGTCGCTTTAACTACAACATTTATAAGGGCTGACATGCTTCATCTTATCGAATAATAACTGCCCTACGCCTATCCTGTGACAAGTGCAATCAAATTCTCTAAGAAAAATTATTTCAATTTCTTTTAAGTAATTTAAAAGTMTCCGAGGCGGCTTAATTAAATTGCACCTGTCAATTTGACTTTCTTGTGTAAAGAGGTATTCAACTGAAAACTCATCCTGCATTAAACGGTCACTACACACACTTTCTATTATTTCATTCGAAATGTTAGGAAAAAAGTTTGGTTTGCAGTTTCCGTTGGTTACCAAGTTGGCGTAACGCAACCCCCATGAGTTTTTAAACAAATTGCAGAACATGTAAAGTGTTATCCTTACACATCTACCACCGCCCCTTCTTATTTGTCCAAAATAATTTTCTAGGTTGTCCTGACATAATCGTCTCGTCTGTACATGTTGAAAACCTGAGCGTGACAAGAATCKYCACAATCGTTTTAAACTAYTTATATTAAGGATCCAACCCTTAAGGTARTTGAAARATGAAGTGATGTCAGCCCCGGKGTCATCGTTAACMYTAATCGTCTTTAAAAGCTTAAGAGCCTCGTCTAAAAATTGCAACTGTTCAGGTGTTGCCGAAAAAACTTTTTTGTTGGGCAAAATAGCTTCAAAATTACTACTATTAAATATATCAAATAATTTATTAATGAATAAAATTATTCCGCCGTATTACAATAACTATTCGAGGGACAAGTCAAATAACCGGAACTATAAATTGATAACATTCCGGAAGCGACTGTGTCACTGAACACTTGACTAGCAAGTTTGACACTCATTTTTTTAAAATTATTTGGCGCAATGTGAGCATCAGACAGTTTCGGTGCACAGCGAATGTGATTTTGCGAGTCTTTATTATAAAAGTGCACTATATCGGACCAACTAATCGGACGGGATTTAAAACTTACTTTATTTTTACAATTTTCGAGACAATTCCGGTGAGGACAATCATTAAAAAAGAACACCTGTTTGCCATTTACATTGAAGTATGGGCGCTCTTTCCCCCCTTAACACCCTAGCTAAATTGAGAAAGTTAGAACCCTGATCACAAACAAAATGGCATGGATAAAGACCAATGTTTTGTAGCTGGGTGATGGCCTAAAAAATATATTTTTTGGCGATAGGGGGTGAGACCAAGGTGTTCCACCAATACCTTGGACCATCAGAGTCATCGCACTATTACCTATTCTACAAGTGCGATTTTCATCGCCGTAATCCTCAACTCCTACAATTTTATCAAATTTAGGTAAATATTGCATATGACTCTTAAGTGCCATTTCGTCACACAAAATAGGCACGAATTTTTGTTCCTGACTAAATCCCCGACTTCTCAACTCTAAACATCTAATACTACTGCTATTACATCCTGGATCGCGGGGCCATTCCGAAACAAACTCGTCCAGAGTTCTCTCATCCGGAAACCTAAGGATTGGCTTAAGGTGTCTGTAAGCTAAAGGTGATAAGAAGTATACACCTAAAGCCAGTGTTTTAAAATAGTCGTATCTACGACCATTGGGATTTTGGTTGAAATTTTTTATACTATTGCGCACTATGGCGCTTATCTGTGGAGGAAAATTACTATTGAAGTGCCCTATTAAATCAAATCCTTCCTCTTTCTCCTTTAATTCCTTCTTTATTCTTTTATATTTCTTTGCTAAATCTTCTATCTGATATTTTAAGTAATTAATTTCCCTTTCCTTTACTTCTAATTTATTTTTCAAACATAAATTTTCCTCCACCAATTTTTGTTCCCTAAGAGCTCCTGATACTAAACTTAAATTTGTTTGACTTCCTATTTCCCTGGAATTAGCTAGCCCAAAAACCCTACTTATTCCTGAGCATCTTTTGCCACGGATGCTAATAGCATCAAATTATTCCCGTTATCAAGCAATCCTTATTCGGTATCATTATTTTGAAAACAAAAATCTTCCGTTCCCATTTCAATTATTGAATTGGGTTTAAAAATATTTTTATAATTAAAACTAGGTTCCGGTGCGTTTAGCAAATGGGTGTCCAGAACAACATTAAGCCTCAGCTTTTTTTTAAACTTCATGCTAAAAGAAAAGTGTGGATCACAGGCAAACACCCAACCGACTCAGCCAAATTAAATATCTAATAAAAATAAAGAAAACCTACACCTTACAACCAGAGTCTTATTTATATTTATTTTAATTGAAGCAAATACTATGATACTTTTCTTCTTATTAAACTATTTCTTATTTTTAAATAGTACACATAATATATATGTATACTATTCTAAGTATAATTTTCCTACCAAAATACTGTCATTTTTTAAATTATTTCTACACTAAGTACTACAATCGCTATTGTGATACAACAAAAATTTTTTTTAGTTAACATATGTAGGTAGTAGAATTAAATTACAAGTATATTATTACTATTATACTTAGATTATTAAATTACATATTTTTAAGAACTACTATATAAAATCCATAAAATATTATGCACAAAGCTTGAATTTAAAAAATACTATATACAAATACTCGTACTTTTTAACTTTTGGACTAACCTGTCTTTATCCTTTTCCTTACAAGGAAAGTTGAAAATATGCTCTCCGCCCTCGCATCCAACCGCACACTTCCTCACTTTTGGCATTTTCACTAAATTACACAAAAATACTAAATTAATAACTTTGAAAATGCATATATAAATATTAAAATGCAAAATAATTAATACACATAACACATAAAAATTTTCCTTACCAAATATGCACCCACTTCTATGAAATTTCGTTTCACACTGATTTTGTCAGTTAATTATAGCGGTTTATTTCTGGCATGCCGCCTTTTCTGAAATCAGCTGTCAGAAATTCCCTGATCTGCATAGCTGTCAAATAATCAGGGAATGCGTTTGAGAGAAAAAGAGAGCCAATGCTAAAGTCTCGTATCATATATCCATGAATCAGGACCAGTTTTTTTTAGGACGAACCCGTCAGATATATTTAATATCACATCAAACAAGTAAGGAAGGGCTAAGTTCGGGTCTCACCGAACATTTTATACTATCACATCAAATACCGTATTTGTGTAAAGTTTTATTCCGCTATCATTATTTGTTCCTAATGTATATATTATACAGAGAAGGCATAAGATCGAATTCAAAATAGCGTTATATTGGAAGAAGGCGTGGTTGTGAACCGATTTCACCCATATTTCGTACATGTCATCAGGGTGTTAAGAAACTATCACGAATTTCATTGAAATCAGTCGAGTACTTCCTGAGATATGGTTTTTGGTCCATAAGTGGGTGACGCAACGGCCATTTTCAATTTTTAAAGAAAGCCAGGGTGAACCTTCTTTCTGATATTTCTTCCGTAAAATTTAGTGTTTCTGACTTTTTTTGATAGTCGGTTAACGCACTTTTAGTGATTTTCAACATARCCTTTGTATGGGAGGTGGGCGTGGCTATTATCCGATTTCTTCCATTTTTGAACTGTATATGGAAATGCCTGAATGAAACAACTGTGTAGAGTTTGGTTGACATAGCTACCGTAGTTTCCGAGATATGTACAAAAACTTAGTAGGGCGCGGGGCCACACCCACTTTTCCAAAAAAATTACGTCCAAATATGCCCCTCCCTAACGCGATCCTTTGTGCCAAATTTTACTTTAATATCTTATGGCTTAGTTATGACACTTTATAGGTTTTCGGTTTTCTCCATTTTGTAGGCGTGGCAGAGGGCCGATTTTGCCCATCTTCGAACTTAACCTTCTTATGGAGCCAGGAAATACGTGTACTAAGTTTCATCATGATATCTCAATTTTTACTCAGGTTACAGCTTGCACGGACGGACGGACAGMCGGACAGACAGACGGACGGACAGACAGACATCCAGATTTCAACTCTACTCGTTACCCTGATCACTTTGGTATATATAACCCTATATCTGACTCTTTTCGTTTTAGGACTTACA